TTATGTACGACTCCGGAATTTTTAAATTCAGCTTGCAAGTACCCCTCTTTTGTAGTGGGATAAGCCGAACGAGATGTTCCCGAAGGCGTGCCACTCGTCGCAGTAGTCAGTCGCGAGCATGTTCCACTCATTCTCCGTGTGATGGCTCAAAAATTGCTATTAATTTTTCGCAGAATTGCTGTGATGAAGGCGTACCGAAATGTGTAGAAACCGGGATGTGTTGGGCAGTTAATTCCTTTTAGCTGGTCGGCGAGCGTTGATTTGTTGCGCGCATTTTGTAACTCACTGAGACTCTCACAAATGTCGCAGTAGTAGCTGAAACAAACGTACAGTACTTATACTCATATGTAACAATGGGAAATCCGTGACGTAGTCCTATTATTACTACTTCAACTACTGCCAGTACCAGCCGTGACTGTCTCTGAAAGCTCAAATCCCTTTCTACACGCAGCATAATTGTTCCTTAAAAAATTGTCAGTACGTCGAGTCACGGTAAGAGCAGTAGATGAAGTAGTAACAGTATGACAAACTTGCAAATTAACATAAAGGTAAGCCTAGTGACAGATGTGCCGCTGCTACTCCTACTGCTCACAGGTCGGCTGTATCAAGAATGAATAACTGCGACAAACGAAAAGGAAAAGGTGCATTCGAAAGGGACAAAAAATTGATGAAGAGTTTCCGTAGTTTCAAAGTTCTTACCAATTATTTCCGTAACCGCCACAGCCGTTATTGCTCGCATTTTGGCACTTTAAATTTGAAAAATCTTTCACATTCCACCACTGGTACTCGGCTTTGGCGAAGAAACTATTGCCGATCTTCTCCTCCTGATCCAACACCCGGATATTCGTGATTTCGACAGTGAAACATCCCGGAAGTTTTACCACTTCCGGCCGAATGACCACTTGCCGTGGATCCACTTCTAGTAGTTTCTTGGCACCTGGCCGGGCTGAAATTCTTTTAAACACTACTAGAGGCTTTCTGGAAAAGATGGGGATACGAGCCTGTATCCTCCAATGGCTTTCAGGACTGGAAGGGCGCCTTACCACGGCGGAAAATCGCAACAAACTGAATTATTCGGGGATGTAAAAACTGATTGTTCCTGTGGTCGAAAAATAAAGCCATTCAAACAAAAATAAAGCCAAGTGTTGATATGCCGGCTGCCCGCTTACAGGCAAACGATGTCGAATAGGAGTTTTGCAGTTACAGCCAAGAAGTAAGCGTGAGTGATTTTCTGGAGGCCAGAAGCTGCACAAAAAATGGCCATCGGTTGAAGCAAATTTCACTGATGAAAGTCGAAGAATGCTCGGTAGATATGGCTGAAAGATCTTGTGAGGATTGCTTAAACTCCGTCGTCATATAAGCAGTCAGACTTCTCTCAAATAAGAAACGGGAAAAAATATCGTTCGCATTATGTGAGGAAGTAAAACTGAATCAGCAAAGCATGTTATTGCTCGCCTTTTCGATAACCAGTGGACAATGCATATTAGTGGAGTGGGGTCCGTAAGAAATTAAACGGTAAGTCGGATGGCCTCCACAAAAGTTGTGAATACACAAACGAAACAGGCGGAAAACAACTCAGGACCGAAAGTCCTAGCTGCGTCTAACGTGTAAGAACATTAGTAATATCACTAACAAGCGACCCACATACTGACTGTCCGGTGTTCTTGATAACTACATACAGATATGCTTTGTATCAAAGTATTTGTGTATACTTTCTCGCAAAATAAGCAGGTAAACAGTACAGTTGTTTTTATGTATATTTGTGGCATAAAAGAGAGTTCGAGCTAGATACGTGTTTGCGTACGTGTATATATGAGTGCATGCATGTATGTCAAGTTTAGCAGGCATCGTGACCTTCAAATTCAAAGCAAGTATTTTGCAAGTGTGTTGTTTGTTGATCGATTATAAAGTGCACTGAATTGAAAACGAGTTATTAGTGGTGAAAATTGTAGCTGGTTGGCTTAGATCGATAAAGGGATATCCGAGGACACTCCGGGATACCGGTAACCGGTTCCCGACGTTGCTAATTCCACACTACTCGCTACTCACTATTCTGCCGTATCTGAAAATCGTCAGTGTTCATATCTGCTCGTTAAAAAAATAGGTCATACTGGGGAAAAATTTACAACGGAAACTAAGAACGTGCTCGAGAAAATATACAACACTATTTTTTGAGCGAGTCTGTGATCCTGAAATGAGTCGTGCGGGGGTTTCGGAAAGCGGGAAAGCATGAAGTCGGCAGCTCAAATTGCCAATTTGAAATTGTTTCTGTGTTTTCACACGACCAGCTAAGATTATAACAAACTCCTGCATGTGGAAAGCACGTGTAGTGTGAGTGTGTATTCAACTAACGCCGAGGACAGCTCGATTAAGCTAAAACCTTGTCAGATGTTTTGGCGTGGAGAACTGTTGAGCTGGTAATCTACTTCTACAACAGAGCGAGCATCAATATCGTCGGCAAACTAACCAGCAAATTAATTTAGGAAATCACGAGCTGAAGAAGCAGAAGATGAATTACAGCTTATCAAAGCATTCCAAGTACATGCATATATGTGTAAATATCCGGATAATTCGCTTTGAAATTTGGAGGTCAGGATACTTGTGCCTACAGTGAGCAGGACAACATGCTGAAAGTACGATTCCAGCCTCCCTGCGCCTG